GAGCGCATCGCGGGCGAGGCGTCCCGCCTGGCGCATTACAACAAGCGCTCGACCATCACGTCGCGGGAGATCCAGACGGCCGTGCGCCTGCTGCTGCCCGGGGAGCTGGCCAAGCACGCCGTGTCCGAGGGCACCAAGGCCGTCACCAAGTACACCAGCGCCAAGTGAGCCCGCCTGCTGCAGAGCAATCGGTAAGGCTCGGCACACACCCCAAAGGCTCTTTTCAGAGCCACTCAGCGTTCTAAAGAGAACTGGCACTCATTTACCCTGGGTGTTTTATTTGCTGTAAAGAAACAGTATCTGAATTCCGTGTTTTCACCTGGCGGGAAATTAGTTACAATGTATGGGAAGCTGAAGTAGCGCTGGAGATGTATTTAAAAAGGTTTCGGCCAGGAAGGATCATGTTCATTATCAGACAAATGGAGTAAAATAAAATATTCTTTGTCTCCAAAGCAAAACCTGGTCACCTTTGAAAATCCCAACCTGGCAAAAGGTCTTATTGATAATGCCTCTGGCGCTCTGTCCCTAGTTCTCAGGTGTACCTTACCGACGGGGCGCTGGGCACGCGCTAAGAGGCGCACAAGTCGTTTCGGGGGCGGTGCTGGCTCGGTCCCTGGGGTTTGTATTTGCCACGTACTGAGCTAGAAAGGCAGCAGAAAAAATGGCAGTCAGAGCCGGACTGAAAGTGTCCGTGCGCGTCCCGTGGCACGTGGGTGTGGGAGCCAATCCAGACACTGCGCGGGCGGTTCCAAGGGCCCCGCGGGCCGCGCCTCGGGAGTCGGGCCGCACCCCGAGTTGTGCGCCGCGCGGCGTGCGGGACCAGCTGCCGCTCTCCTCCCTCGTTTCTCTGGGTGAAATTCCTCTCATGGGAAGGACTGGGCTCAGGTTCCTACCTTTCCGGTCAGAATCCACTCCACCATATTTTCTTTCCGTGTCACTTGCATTTCGTGGTTCTATTGGAAGACATTTAAAAAGAAGACTAGAGGAGGGGGGAAGCGCTGTGCCTTCACCCCCAATTCAGGACGTCAAAATCCCTCTCCCCGACTTAAGCCCTTAGGAACGGCACATTTAAGGGTATTTTGGTCTTTGCCGGGACTCGGGGCTGGGGGGGGAAACACTTCCACACTGAATTGTATTTGGTGAAGTTTTTTTTGATCATATCCTTTATCCAATTACGGTGCTGAGGTGTTCGCGTGAGAATATTCTGCACGCGTTGAGCAGGAGACACAGGAGAAGGGAGCAGCGCTATTCTTACTCGCAAAACAGGAGAAGCAACCGCATTTTCATGGCCAAAAGAATCAACAAATTTATTGAGATAGTCACTCAATAGGAGTCCATACAGAGAGGGGGAGAAAAAAACTAAATACACAGTAGTACTTGGTTGAATTTCAGAAACCTAAATCTCAGAAGGTTCATATATGATACCACTTTATAAAGCTCAAAAATAATTATTTAAGCATGTAGAGAAGCACATGTAAGTGTATGATTCGAAAACATTTTTAAGAGCTTTATAAATGAGTTTTTAAAAATCAGGAAATGGATACCTCAGTGACAGTCACAGCGAGAGGATGTAGACAAAAACAGAGGTAAATACAAGTCGTTGCCAGCATTCTAGATTTACTGCTAGAAGTTCCATCCTGGGTGTCTGATACAATTTGTTTTAAACTTAAGATGTATGTTACATATATTCCCTTTATGTATCAGATACTATACTGAAAACTATAATAGGGAGAGGACCCTTGCGTAACAACAAGTTCCAAGCATCATCTACTTTGTCATAAAGGAAATCTTATAAAGGAGAATTCCAAACCTTACGGTGTTTCTTTTAGAGAGTGGGAGAAAAAGACTGACAGGTCATTAAGAAGGCCTATGAATTTAGAAAACTCAAGAGGTGGGCTACAATTAAGTGAGCAACCTTCCTCCTCCAGCTCTTGTAAACTTTCAGTCTACTCAGATTTTTCAAAATCTTTGTGACAGCTCTCTGACCGGAATGTGTATGAGGAGGTACGCAGGTGTGTGTATTTTGTATGTCTTTCATGTATTCATATATATGTATGTATGTATATCCCTCCCTCAATTCTGTTAGAAAAGAAATTATACTTTTTAAATTTATGTATCTTTTCTCCTTCCATCATCTCTCAGGATAGTTGATGATAGTAAATTCACCACATATTTGGTTCTTTTAATCACTACTTTTCAGAGCACAGAAGCCTTTCATCCTGTCCATTAATCCATTGATGCAGACAATCAATAGCAAATTCTGGTTATTTCTTTGTTTTACAGAATGAGGGAAACAGCAGATAGAAATCCAGGGGAGGAAATGGGAAGAGGATTTAGACGGATTCAGTTAGCTAAGCATGTATGTCCTGGGCCTGGAGAACGCATGTGTGTACAGATAGAGGTAGAGAAGACATTATGGATACACATACCTGTGTAGGTGTGGGTACAGACAGGTATGGTGGGCTAGCAAGGACTGCTGGGATGACTTGCAGTTGTCAGCAGGAACCGTGTCTAGAATATGGGGAAGGGGTAGCTGAACTCTGTGCAGAATGGACAGAAGCATGCAGAAGGAATCTATGGCCCCTCTATAAGAGGTTCACATATCGGGCCCATTACAGTCCAGTATTTAGAAACTTGAAATTCCTAAAAGAAAAGGAGAGAAAAATAAAAAAAGAACTCAAAGCTAGATTTTGTGGGTTATTGGCGCCTTGGTGATCCAGGCATCTAACACTTTGTTGTTCAAAGTATCTTGATTAATTTGTGTCATTGCTGATCAGTCTTGGGAAATGGACTTGAGCTCAGCCAAACCTGGATGTCACTTTACTATTTTATACTGGAACAGCTGGTAGCTTTAATAATTCACATGATTTGCCCCTGATAATACTTTTTGTCATTTTTCCCCCTAAAGAACAATTTTTAGAACACAAAAGAACAAATTGGAACATTAAAATAGACAAGAGAGTCTTATCCTAAAGGAGAGATTTTTTTTCCCCCAAGTTATGTTACCTGAAACTGGCCTTTGTCCAGCTTAGAGAAATTCATATTTTCTTCCTTGAAAACTCCATTCTATGGTGGTTGAACAAAATTTACTGACAAAGCTTAACTCTTTTTTTACTCCTTTCTAGATTCCGTGCAGTTTGCCATCCTTCAGTTAGGACACTGTATCGGGCACATTAAATTAGACCACAACTTATCTTAGTTACATTTTAGGTTCTTCGATGTGAAAAACGCCTGCATCTCGTCATCTATAACTGTCCAAACCATCTCAAACGTGTATTTTTTCTGCAGATGACTAGTTTATCCATTGTCTGATACCTTTTAACTTCCATTTCAGAGGCTCACCTTTTCTGACATCACCGAATCAGCCTCTTGGGAGGTTTCAAGAGTAAAGCAGATGTATGGTATTAAAAAACAAAACCAATTAACAAAAAGCACAAGGATATTTTTTTCCAGACTTGAATAAGGATAAAAAGTTCCTATCAACTCCTACAGAGTTGAACATACATGTAAGTATTCCTAGGGGTCAATGAATAGGACTGCTTCAGCTTAAGACGACTTTACAGAGGGCCTGAAAAGTGCAAAGAACATGGGTGGGGTAGACTAGAAAGACAAAGGCCCCTCCCCTTGCAGGTGCACCAGAATTCCCACTGATAGAAGGAAGAATAAAATCAGTGCCTCAGCCAAAGGTCTGCATTTACATAAAAAATTAGCAAGTCTTTTTGATGGAGAAATTATGAAAAGCCATAAGGGAACTCTGGAGTCCCAAAGATATTAATTTGGGGAAACCTTAAATTTCAAGGCATAAGGGCAGAGGCTCCTCCGGTCAGGGCCCGCCGCGGCCGTTGAGATTGGCAGGGGGGGTCGTGTCCTGTGTTATTGACATCGCTGTGATGTCTGTGCTTGCGTAGCTTAATAAACAGGTTACATTCTTGGGCTTAATGTATGAAAAGCAGTGGTTCCCATAGCTGTCATCCCCAAGGCTCCCCTTTGATATTTAAGTTGTTTTTTTTTTTTACTGATGTTAAATTCTTAGGTAATAATACTTAAACGCATGAATAATTTTTCAAAATCATGAAACCCCATACTGTTACATAAAAACAAAGTAAGAGACTGTTATTTTAACAATAAAGGAGATAATTTCAACAACATGTCATTGCTTGGGCCCTACACTCAAAAACATAAATTAGAAGTTGGGTATTTGTACCTGTATTAGTGAGAAATAAAACCAATGGGATGGATGTGCATATAGATATTAGGAGATTTCTTATAAGGAACTGGTTCATGTGATTATGGAGGCCGACAAGGCTCCAGATCTGCAGGCTGAGCTGGCAAACTGGAGACCCAGGGGAGCCGACGGCGTAGTTCCAGTCCGGAGGCCAGCAGCTTCGAGACCCAGGCAGGGCCCATGTCTCAGTCTGAGTCCAAAGGCAGGAAAAGGCCAATGTCCCAGTTCCAAAGCAACCAGACATGAGGAATTGTTATTCAGGGGAAGGACAGCCTTTGCGTTCCATTCTTAATTTCAACTGATCGAATGAGGCCCACCCACATTAGGGAGAATAATCTGCTTTACAAATTAAGTCTACCAATTTAAATGTTTTACTCTCATCCAAAAGCTCCCTCACAGAAACACCCAGAATGATGTTTGACCAAATATGTGGGTAACACACAGCCCGGTCAAGTCGACACACAAATCAGTTGTCACAGAACCTGTAGGTAGAATCATCCTGAAGGCAAAAAGGACCCTGTAGATCAACTCAGAGGATCAAACACCAAGAAGAGACTTACTCTCAGTGATGTGACATTTTTTTTTTAAAACAATAATTCTTGGGGGACATTTGAAAAGAACAAAATACAATCTCAATTTATAAAATGATGGCATTCTTGGAAATTGCGGTGCCCATTGAACTACACAGAAACACACATGCGCAAAGACCTCGTACTTCTTTGTAGAAGGAGTCAGGTTCTAGGATTGATTAACAGGTTTTTTACCTTCAGATTTGCTGTGGGGCACTTGGAAGTCGTGCAAAACCCGACTCAGTTCTTCACGGGACATCTAGCATCCCTGATCTTTTCCTAAATGGCAGTGGTGCACCTTCCCCCAAGCCCTGGGACAGACTAAAAACAGTCTGCTTGGTTTCTAGAATGCTCGCTAAGGGCCACTATTGTTCTCTGAGAAGGCAGACACTGATAACTTTCATTGCAGAAGCTGCAGAAGGGAGATGTCAATGGTGGGAGCCGCCGGAAAGCTTCCAGGAATGCCAGAATGTCCCCAGACATAGTCTGCGATGCTGAAACGTCCGTTGCATCAGCCCTGGGTAAGCCAATTGGTCCCTGTGCCTCGTGGAATAGTCCCAAACTCCTTGTCTTCCCAGCAGCTTACCTGTGGACGTGTGAACAAGCAGGGGGCCTTGATTTGGAGACGAGGTGGACAGCTCTTAAAGGAAAAGGGCCCCTCACCCAGAAGTCCCCCCCAGTTGCTGACACCCCGGCCAGCTCTGGGTCTGCAAAGCCAGTCCGCTGGCTTTGAACTCGGGCAGCAACCATGAGATTTACACTCAGCTTTAGCCCAGTGAACAGAAAAGGCACAGCAGGACATTGAAATACAAGTGGTGGTCCACCTCTGTGGGATCCACTGTGACACTGGCTAGCTGTACCTTAGACCTTAAGAACAAATGGGGACTCAACTCTCCTCAGATTACGACACAGAGGCCTGGTGATCCCAAAGAAGGAATGAACTCCCCACAGGCACCTCCCGGGGAGGCCTTTGCACAGTGAGCTCATCGCAGATGCCTCCCGCCTGTGTATCAGACCTGTCCTCTCTCCGTAAAATCAGTCCACGATGTTGAAGAACTGCCCTTTCTGGAACTTCAGTAGTTAGACATGGAGTGAGAACACGCTCTGGGAAAGACAAAGCCCACTGCACCTCCTTGTCCTGGGACAAGCTATCCCCAAACCTTAGTTTTCACTTTCTGTTTTCCTGTCCTTTTTTTTCTGAGATGTTGTACCAGCCTAGAAGGAAAGAAATGAAAATAAATGTGTCTTTGGGGGGCAGGGGGTGAGACGGAAGAAGGGGGCCAGTTATCACTAAGTGTGTCCTTGGGGAAACAGGCAATGCAAAAAAACACGGCCATTGTCCTAAAGGACATATATCCTAATACAGGAAACTGAAGGAGCTTTATACACGATCTATCTGATTAATGCATCATGATCTAGTGTGCTGTATTCTTTTTCTTTTTTAACATTTTATTTATTTATTTATTTGACAGACTGCGAGCAGAATACAAGCAGGGGGAGTGGGAGAGGGAGAAGCAGACTCCCCGATGAGCAGGGAGCCCGATGCGGGGCTCGATCCCGGGACCCTGGGACCATGACCTGAGCTGAGTTCAGACGCTTCACCGACTGAGCCACCCAGGCGCCCCCTAGTGTGCTGTGTTCTGAGGGAGATGGAACAGAATGGGCAAATTCTTCAAAGTAGAACCAGCATTCAGGGCTCAGGTAACACGGTACCAAGGGAAACGAGCCTGGATTCATTTGTGCAGGAAGAGAAGCATTGTTTGGAAAAGGTTTTTAACGAGGCAAGTGACATTTTAGAGATTTTTTTTTTTTTAAAGATTTTATTTATTTATTTGACAGAGAGAGACACAGCGAGAGAGGGAACACAAGCTGGGGGAGTGGGAGAGGGAGAAGCAGGCTTCCCGCCGAGCAGGGAGCCCGATGCGGGGCTCGATCCCAGGACCCTGGGATCATGACCTGAGCTGAAGGCAGACGCCCAACCATCTGAGCCACCCAGGCGCCCCATTTTAGAGATTTTTAATTTGGCAGAAGCGTGCAGGGATAAGATTGGGCAAGAAGGTGCTCTTGGCAGCGATGGAGGGAGACACAGATGCAGACGCCGAGTCCCTCACACTCTCCTGCACCACCACCCTACTCCACACCCCACCTCCTCTCTCCTGGTCATGGCAGAGGCTTCCAACCAGGTGTCTGCTCCCCGCCTGGTGCTCCTCAACTCTGCCTCCCCTCAGCAGCCCCGAGATTCCTTTAAAACCCTTGTCAGATCAGCTTCAAAACTTGAAAGCCCTTCCCTTGGTCTCTGGGGTGCTGTGTGCTTTGGCCCCGGTCTGTCTTAGGCCCCCAATCCCAGGGTCCCTCGTGCTTCCTCTGCTCCAACCACCCCGATCCCTTTGCTGTTCCTTCTCAGACACGCTGAGCCCGGTGCCCCGGGAATGTGTGCACTTCCTTTCCCTCGGACTGCAGTGCTCCCCGACAGCTCTTCCTTGTCTCCTACATTCGCTGCCCAAATGTCCCTGTTCTGCGGCCTTGTTCCAGTCCATCATTAGTATCATGCAAGAAATTACCTTGAGGCCCAGGTAGCCTCCAAGCATCGCACCCCGCAAGCTCTCCCGGGGACACAGCAGAGAAAGGCTCTCGGGCTGCATCTAAATGCTCAAATCACAGCTTATTAAATCAGTTAGAAATGCGGTAAGCAAGGGAGAAAAGATGCGCAAGCTGCCAGTTTGGTGGACAAGTGGGTGAGAGCCACGCTGTGTGAGTCAAGCGCGTGCTCTCTCGTACATCTTGGCTCTCCTTTGCGGCATCGGCCCCTGGGACAGATGCGGGGCAGCGAGCCGAGCCACACCCGCACTCCCCGCGGTTTGTGGGACAGACGCAGGCTTTGTCTGTGAGCTCCTGGTGGGCCCAAAGCAGGGCTCATCTAAGGCCCCCTGTTTACTGAGGGCTTTATGTGACTCTTGTGTCAATGAATTCCAAATATTTACCGTCTCATACATTTAGCCAGATCTCTGGACTCTTTCATCCCTACAATCTCTATTTAACGACATATGCTCTACTTACTATTTATCCATACTTGCAATATCTTAAAGGTTTTGGCCTCTATGTTACTAACTAAAAACATCTTTTATAATAAAATTGCTAATTTTCAAAAGTAAACGTGTGTGACAATCCCTGGCACAGAACAGTAAATATATGCTGGATGGATGAACCATGCTCTCCCTCCTGTCCTGCTGCCCCTGAATCCAGTGTTTGGCAGGAACACACGCGTGCGCACGGGGGCCTGGGTTCTGGTGTGACAGTGGGCTTCCCATGACATCTCTCGTTTCCAACTCAACTGTAAATGAGAGCAGGGTTTAACAAGATGATCTTTACGTTTCCTTCCAGCATTTAGGATTTTGTCAGTGGTTTATTCCTCTGCTGTGGTTTCTTTGTGCTGTGGCTTAACTTTCTTAGTCTATCAAACACATTTCAACAAAATCAAAAGTCTTCTCCTTTAACTATCACTATTGCTAGGAGGATTACTGCTAAATCCAAAAGCAGAGGAAATTTTTCCTACATTGCACAGTTGAATTTTGCATAAAGGAATTTAAAAGAGAAGAAAGTAAAGTTTAAAGCCTTTGAAAGTGATAGAAAGTCAAAACAGTAACAGGTTTATAGAAAATCTGTGAAACTTTCCAAAGCTTTTTAAAAAATTATTTGAGGGCGCCTTGGTGGCTCAGTCATTAAGCGTCTGCCTCCGGCTCAGGTCATGATCTCAGGGTCCTGGGCTCGAGCCCCGCATCGGGCTCCTTGCTCAGTGTGGCTCCTGCTTCCCCCTCTCTCTCTGCCTGCCTCTCTGCCTACTTGTGATCTCTCTGTCAAATAAATAAATAAAATCTTAAAATAAAAAATTACTTGAAAAACTCGAGTAAACTTCTTGTGAAAGGAATACAGAACAATGAAGTAACATGATAGACTGCCATCACTATAAAAAACATAAATTAAAAGGCAAAGAAACACCACTACATACCAGTTAGAAAGGTCAAAATCTGGAATAGTCAAAACACCAAATGCTGGCGAGGATGTGAAGCAAGGTGGGCCATCGCTCACTGCTGGTGCGAATGCAAAATGGAGAAGTGTCTCCCACCTTGGAAGACAGTTTGGCCAATTCTTACAAAACCACACATATTCTTCCCACACAATCCTGCAAGTACATTCTTGGTATTTACTCAAAGGAGTTAAGAATTTATGTACACACAAAACTTGCCCTCAGAAGTATATATTAGCTTTATTCAGAACTGTCAAAACTTGGAAGCACCCAAGATGTCCTTCAGTGGGTGAAGAGATAAATAAATTGGTACAACCAGACTATGATAACATTCAGGGCTAAAAAGAAATGCGCTACGAAGCCATGAAAAGACATGGAGCAACCTTAAATGCATATGACTAAGTGAAAGAAGCCAATCTGAAAAGGCTACATACTGTATGATTCAACTGGGGTGTGTGGGGGCGGGAGTCTGCTTCTCCCTCTCCCTCCGCCCCTCCCCCATTTGTGCTCTCTCAAAATTAAAATCCTAAAAAGAAAGAGAATAATTTTAATGTATTGTTATAACAAAACAGAGACAAAATAATTCCCAGAGGATTTCCTCAGATGCTTAGAATGAAGAGAAACAATCCACTAATAAATGAAGGCTTTTTTGGGTGTGTTTTATTTAAAAAAAAAAAATGACTTTTTATATCACAGCTGCTTTAATTGTGAAAATAATACAGAATATAAAAATGAGAATATAGGCATGCAAATATTCGTGCAAATATTCAGGTGTTGCATAAAAATGTTCAGTAATGATAACTTTCTAAAGTCCCTGCACTTGTCTAAGAAAAAGACAACTATGAATTACACCCCAATTAATATTAGAAATATGTACATGTGATGTGAATATGGAGTTGCACCTAAAATATGTTATAACCCAAACATACTAGTGGTTTTTGCTGGTTGGTCCTTATGAAAGTGTTTTGAGAATATGGAACTATATAAAATTCTTCCACTCAAATCTGAGGGGTAACATTGTAAAATATAACACTGGATTTTTTAAAAAGAATTCTTGGTGTTAATTTGGTTGCACTGTAGCTTTATCTTAATTTACTCCCCACCCCCCTGCCAACATTTTAAACTCATATCTTGAAAATGAGCTAACAGAACATTAAGGTATTCTGTAAGTGTTAATGTATTTGTATTTGGCCAAATACAATTATTTATATTTATTTCCAAGTAACTGAAACTTGATACTGCTTGCAATTTAAATAATTATATCATAAAAAAATGAGTGTGTGTATATATGGTATATATATATATTTGTGCATATATATTATATATACATATAAAACTTATACACTTACAGTAAAATATATTCTATTTTAATTTTTCCAATACTTTTACTCCAAGGGGATGCCAAAAAATTCAAAGGCATTGGGTCTCCATTTTCTGATTATTTCATGCTCCTAGTTATAGAACAGCACTGAGATGGAGACTACAGCTAGATCCTAATCCTTTGAGATTTTAGCTCTATATTCTGTGAGCCCAAATACACTATATACATACATTAATACATACATGCCCTAAAATAATTATACATATATTATATTTTTATTTATATTATATTTAATGGAACTAATGGAATAATCAGAAACTGGACAGTCCATAACCTTCTATTTTTTGGTACCCTCTTGGAGTAAGAATGTTAGAAAAATTCAAATTCCATATTCTTTTCAAATAAGTTGTGTACAGATGATAATGACTTGGAGAACCATTAGGAACTATACATGCTAACAGCATCCTTATGTTTATTCTGTGGACTATATATAATTTTTCCAAAAGCTCAAAGTGGAATATAAAAATTACTAAGGTATTATGAGTATTCTTTTAATATATATCTGGATAAGAGTCCATTGTGTGCTTTCTAAATTTTAAATTGTATTGTTTTTAAAGACACATTATTGGGCGCCTGGGTGGCTCAGTCGTTAAGCATCTGCCTTCGGCTCAGGTCATGATCCTGGGGTCCTGGGATCGAGCCCCGCATCGGGCGCCCTGCTCGGCGGGAAGCCTGCTTCTCCCTCTCCCACTGCCCCTGCTTGTGTTCCTGCTCTCGCTATCTCTCTCTCTGTCAAATAAATAAATAAAAATCTTTAAAAAAAAAAAAGACACATTATTTAGATTGAACAAATCTGGTAAATTAACCTTAAGAAGGCGGTGTCTTTTGTTGGCAGAGAAGAATGATGCTATTAGCTCTGGAAGAAAAGTGAGTTAGATTAAAAAAAAATTCTGGGCCCAGATAAAGGGCTTTCAGTGGAAAGGGTAACATGCACTTATCCTCTGGAAACAGCACCTGCCATTAAAGTGGTCTTGAGGTTCCCTGAGTCAGGCAGGTGCAGAGTGCTCAGAGAACTCCCTAACAGAAACCCTAGATGGAGATTTTCGTCTCTATTCAAGAACCAAAAGTCGCTGAAGAAGAATTGATTACAAGTTTTGAATTAATGGGTCCAAGACATCATACTGACTGGAAGTAAGGACCATCTCAGATGTCTGAACTGACAGTAGGAGTAAAAAAAAAGCGGGGTGGTGCTCCAGAAAGCATGAAAGAACCCCCATGTTTAAGTAGTGCTAATGTGAGAATTAAAATTAAACAGAACAATTTAGTTGTCACTTGGAATGGATTCAGCATGTAAACTGGCAGAATTCATGATGCTAATCAATTGGAACCAATCCTGTGATGAGCTGATCAGACCTTTACACTGTGTGTCTCGGGATTCCTCTTTCCCCAGGTCTCATACCTCCCTTTCTGAGGTCAGCATCACACCTAGAGAAAGCTTCCCTCCTGGTACTCTTGAGTTCTGTGCTGACACAGGAAAGCCCCACCTCCTTCAATGCTATAGATCAAGGCTCAGAAAGAGCCCCCTGAGAAACTCACTGATGCTCTCTTGTTCACAGAAATTTCATCTCAAGACAGCAATTTCATTTTAATGACAGTCATCATTGGGAACACAAACTGATTTGCAAGGAATTCTCAAATTATCCTGTGTATTCTGCCAAAGGCATCCCCAAAGATACCAATAACACTATGGTTGCTAAATAAGTAAATAAATAAATAAATGTTTGCTTTCTTTTTGATTCTCAAAATACAATTTGGGGACCTAAGGGGATTTCTGAGACCCTTTTGGTGGGTCTGTGAGGCTAAATTTATTTGTGTAATAATCCTGAAACTTAATTTTTGCACTGTTTTTCACTTGACAATTATATTGCAATAGATTGAATGCAGAATCAAATACTGTGCAAGAATCTAGCTGTCTTCTATTAAATGAGATAGTAAAGATACAAAGTGTAAAACAATGCCACTCCTCTAAATTTTTTTGTGATTTTGAAAAATATAGCCATTTTTCATAATATATATGTTGACATAAAATGGGATTTGACCATGTGAAAATCACAGTGAACAGAAATGCCACACCAGAAATAGAGGACATGAAAACGTGAGTGATGAACATGAAGCAGGATCAGTTTCCATCTTTGTGGAACTTCACTAGGAAAGATGCGGAGGTGGAGTGCAGGGGACTTGGGCTTAGCCAAGACACGTGTACAAGAAGTAACCAGTAGAAAAATTCAACTGCAGATGTAGGGCCTGGATTAGCAATCCTCATCCTTAACTGGTGAAAAGAGGTGACTAATTTAGGTTCTCATTTCCCTTTCTCCATATTTATCCCAACACCATGAGGTTATTCTGTGCAAATGTAGTCCTAGAGTGAGGGAGCAAGAAGGAACATACCTAGCATTGATGTTAAAGAATAAGTGAAAGGGAATGTGACTTGGTAAATTTCCTTTAAATCAATTTATGTGATTCACAGAGCATTCTACTGGGAAGGAGGATGGTGACTGAAAAATGGTGATATAACCTAAAGGGAGATAAATAGAAGCTCTGCCAATAAGATTTTCACTGCAAGTTGAGGGATATTTTTCTTTTTCACCTTAATTTGCAGTTTTCTCACTAATTAGTTCAATGGGTGGTTCTTAAAATTAGAATTTGGATAGTAAAATGAAATATGCACAATAAAAATTTTTTTAAAAGATTTTGAGACAGAACACGAGCAGGGGGAGAGGGGCAGAGGGAGAGGAATAGTGAGAAGCAGACTCCCTACTGAGATGGGAGCCCAACCCCAGGGCTGGGATCATGACCTGAGCCGAAGGCAGACGCTTAACCGACTGAGCCACCCAGACCCCCCTGAATAATAAATTTCTTTTGGAGTGTTTGATGTTTGTAACATGGAAAAAAAAAAGTTAGACCTTATTGAAAATGCACAAGACCAAAATGTATGTAGCTTTGCACAAATGAAGAAACATGTACAAAAGCCTTCAGATGAAAATTTGCTTTTGCCTCTCAAAAAAAAACCAAAAACCCAAACATTTGCTTTTGCCTCTCACTCTTTGGAAAGTGTGGATGGCTTTAACAACAACAAAAAAAGCCTTTGGGTGTCTGATCAATACCTTTGCAGCAGGCGGGCTCACTTGGCGCTGGTGTACTTGGTGACGGCCTTGGTGCCCTCGGACACGGCGTGCTTGGCCAGCTCCCCGGGCAGCAGCAGGCGCACGGCCGTCTGGATCTCCCGCGACGTGATGGTCGAGCGCTTGTTGTAATGCGCCAGGCGGGACGCCTCGCCCGCGATGCGCTCGAAGATGTCGTTGACGAACGAGTTCATGATGCCCATGGCCTTGGACGAGATGCCCGTGTCGGGGTGCACCTGCTTCAGCACCTTGTACACGTACACCGAGTAGCTCTCCTTGCGGCTGCGCTTGCGCTTCTTGCCGTCCTTTTTCTGCGCCTTGGTCACCGCCTTCTTGGAGCCCTTCTTCGGGGCCGGAGCCGACTTGGGGGGCTCGGGCATGGCCGGGAGTAACTGTTGAAGGCTTAAAAATAACACAATGAGTGTGAGGCTCTAACTGCCCTCTTTATTCACAGCTTCTTAATTGGCACGGGGGACAGTAACTAACACCCCTCTACCCCCTCCCCACCACCAAAGCCGAAAGGGTAAAGAAAAACAGGCTGTACTTGCCCTCTTCACTCACAGCTTCTTAGCCGAAGAAGGTGATTGAAGAAATCCAGTGATTGTAGTAAATTCTGGATGGCATCCTGTAGTTATCCAATCAAAATAAGAGTCTTTCGAAACCAGGATTCCATTGGTTTAAATGTAACTGTAATTTTAGCCAATGGCACAGCTTCATTTTTGTGCCCAATAGAGACTATAAGTAGGGTAGCTCCGGCGGCTTCAACTCTGACCCTACTCAGGTCTGTTCCTTTTTCCCCATCATGTCCGGACGCGGCAAGCAAGGCGGCAAGGCCCGCGCCAAGGCCAAGACGCGCTCGTCGCGGGCCGGCCTGCAGTTCCCGGTGGGCCGCGTGCACCGCCTGCTCCGCAAGGGCAACTACGCCGAGCGGGTCGGCGCCGGCGCGCCCGTCTACCTGGCTGCCGTGCTGGAGTACCTGACGGCCGAGATCCTGGAGCTGGCGGGCAACGCGGCGCGCGACAACAAGAAGACGCGCATCATCCCGCGCCACCTGCAGCTGGCCATCCGCAACGACGAGGAGCTCAACAAGCTGCTGGGCCGCGTCACCATCGCGCAGGGCGGCGTCCTGCCCAACATCCAGGCCGTGCTGCTGCCCAAGAAGACCGAGAGCCACCACAAGGCCAAGGGCAAGTAAGGTCCCGATAGCAACAACTTCAAAACCAAAAGGCTCTTTTCAGAGCCACCCACTATTTCTGGAGAAGAGCTGGGACCGCAGTTTTCTCAATTTCGACGCTAAGGGGTTAAAGCTTCATATTTTACTACACTTTTAGCTCTCCCACGCTCTACCTGGACCTAATAGGTGATCACCTATTTTATATTACTCGTTAGCGAGCTTCCCCGTTCAACTCCGTTCAGGAACTAGCTAGCTTGTAGCTGGTGCGCAGAGAATCAGGGGTTGGGCACCAAGTACTATGCAAACCGGGACCAATGGGAGTGTAGCGCGGGCTTTTTCGAAATACTGACTTGTGTACAGAAATAAACATACTCAACCGCGAAAAAAACAGGCCTGCAATTTAACTTAGAACAAGGACATAAAGTTTACCTTCTTAGTTTTTTGCGGATGGCCGGGAAAATTTGCAACAATTGTGTACAGCTGTTTCCAGAAAAATTTGGGTGGCTCTGAAAAGAGCCTTTGGGGTTTTGTTGCCTTTTTAAGGCCAACTTCCTACTTCTTTTTCGGAGCCGCTTTCTTCGCCTTGGCAGCCTTGGGTTTCGCTGCCTTGGGTTTCGCGGCTTTGGGCTTGGCCGCCTTCGGCTTCACGGCCTTGGGCTTGGCGGGGCTCTTGGCCGCCTTCTTGGGCTTAGCAGCGGCTTTGGCTTTCTTGGGGCTCTTGGCCACCTTTTTGACACCGGCGGCGGCAGGCTTCTTGGCTTTTTTGGGCGTCTTCTTCACCGCCTTCTTCGCTCCCGCGGCCTTCTTGGGCTTCTTAGGGGTGGCCCCGGAGGGCTTCTTGGCTTTTGCTGCGCCCGCCTTCTTGGCTTTGGGCTTGGCTTCCCCGGAGGCCGCCTTCTTGTTGAGCTTGAAGGAGCCCGAGGCGCCGGTGCCCTTGGTCTGCACCAGGGTGCCCTTGCTCACCAGGCTCTTGAGGCCCAGCTTGATGCGGCTGTTGTTCTTCTCCACGTCGTAGCCGGCGGCCGCGAGCGCCTTCTTGAGCGCGGCCAGGGACACGCCGCTGCGCTCCTTGGAGGCGGCGACGGCCTTGATGATGAGCTCGGACACCGGGGGCCCGGACGCCTTGCGCTTCGCAGCGCCACCGCCCGCCGCCTTCTTGGTTGCCTTCTTTTTGGCAGGCGACTTCTCCACCGGCGCCGGGGCAGCCGTGTCAGCGGGAGCGGTTTCCGACATGGCCAAGAGCAGAAACTGCTACGAGAAGAGAGGTTGCAAATCTAAAGCGCAAGTCTTGCAATGCAGCCTGACTCCGGCCAGGGGCTTATATAAGCCGGTGCTGCTCTGTGATTGGTGGAGCGTCCAATCCACTGCCCTCAGGCAGCCGCCCTTCCCGGTTGGACTCCCAAATTGTGTTTGTTAGCTCCCCAAACCTGATTAAATGCTGAAAATAATTGTACAGAATTTGACGCTTTGAAGTTCTCAAGGCAGACAGCAAGCTCCACGTTCACACACGGGTTTGTGTTTTCATGAATCCTGCGCAACAGCTGAAAGATACTTTTAAAAATCTTTTCAGCTTGTCCTAAGAATCCACTGGGTTTAGGGCATCCTGCTAGTTAGTTGAAATTTGCAGTAACTTTCTACTAAGTATCAAGTGGACATTTTTAAACATGCTTTGTCCCTAGGTTCTGCCTTTGATTTTTGCAAGAGGAAAGACACGGTTTCCTGGGTTTGGGCATAAACGTTGTTTCTAACTGTAGCAAGTAACACAGAGGCAGGGCAATAGATTGCCTAGTGCCCCAAATTAACCACATAGATCCTACTTTAAAAACCAGTTCTGCCTCCTAGGAGTTTGCACGTGCCAATGTCTTTAGTGAGTGTCTTTTCAGCTGGGAAAAGTTCCTCCTGCAGCAGGAGGAAGAGGAATAGCTTTGGCTTGAGGATCCAGTGACCTGGATTCAAATTCAAACTTAAATTTGGTATGTTTTTGATTGAGATGCCATCTCCCTTTAGTATTAGGCAAATCCATTATAATAAATCGGAAAGATGCTTAGTGTGCTCTAAGAAGAACTCAAACCTGCTGAAAGTATTCAAGGGTTTCCAGTAGTCCTCAAAAACACACACTGTTTAGATAACACGGGACTTTGTCAGGTTTCAAGGTGCTCTTCCCAATGCTCCCCAATTCAAACTCCTTATCTCCACCAACATTTAATAAAGCACACTGTCAGAAACACTATCTTCTGTAATGTGGGCATTATTGTGTGTTTGAGGGAGGAGAGACCTGTACTTCAGAGAAATAGTTGGCTACTGACTCATGAGAAAAGTAGATTGGGGATTCAGGGACTGCACGTTATAGAGGGTCAGAAGAATTCAGAAATATATTAGCATCCAAGAGAACTGAGTCAATAATCATGAGGGTGGTTAAGTTTGCTATTTATTTGGGGGGAGGGTGGAGTGGGGAATGGGTGGGATTTTGTGACTGGCCTGGATGATAAGGGAGGTCTAATGATTAGAATCTCTACTGCAGTCAACACTCACTATGTTATTCCCTGTGAAAAACGGTAGGGAAGTTTAAAGTCGCCAACGTATTTCTCTCCAAAGAGCTCCTGAAGTTTAAACTGTAGCCATCTAAGGCCAAATCTGGACAGTCTTTAGTGAGTGTCTTTTCAGCTTGGAAAAGTTCAGTAGCTCCTATTTTGTATGGCTCTCAAGCTAAGAGTGGTTTTTATATTTTATTAATTGTGCTATAAAAAATAAAAGAGACCATATTTGGCCTGCAAAGCCTCAAATATTTGCTATTTGGCCATTTTGCTATGCTTTGGACTCCTCCACATAGACTATGGTGTATTGCTAAAAGCCTGCCTCTTTCAGAACAATGCAAATCAAGAAAATATCTTAACAAGAAAAATATTTTAACCAAGCATTTCCCACTATTTCAACCACAAAACTTTCAGAAGATCAGGGCGGAGGGGATCGCCATGCTTAAGGGGCAGGAGAGAGGTGTAATCAAAGACTAACGTTCGTTGAGCGTTCGCTAAGTGCCAAGAACTAAGAATGCTCTACAGTTTTAATTCATTTGCCACATTTTACAGCTATCCAGGCTGAGACCCAGAGAAAGGATGAGTAGCTTGGCAAACGGTTATATGGCTAGTAATTGGCAGCTCTGAGGTTTGAACCTAGACCACCTGGCCTCAGCTCTGTTATGATGGGGAAATCATTCAAGGCGTGGGGAGAAAACAATCTCTGAAGCTTGTAAGAGGCATCATCAAGTAGTCCCTACAAAGAGCCACTAAGGATCTCTAAACTAACCTGTAGGAAGAGCTTCTGGCCCCTTGGGTCAGAACTCTTTGCCCTCAATCCCCAGGCATTCCAAAAAGCTTTAGGAGCCAGTAGATTGGATATGAACCTCTCTTAAAGGATATATCCGAAAATAGGGGAAAGAATATAAGGTCCAGATGGCTGAAGTCTCCAGAGGAAAATTGCTAACTCCTGGAGTGAGGAGTTGATCAAAAGAAGCAAAATGGGTCAATGATATTCATACGTGAAATGCATGAAGAGACTTCAAAATCTTAAAATAACTGGACAAATATACAGTCAAGGTCGGTTAGGAAACCCAGAATTCTAAGTGTGGAAACCTGTAACAGCTTTAAAATATGATTTAATTCCCATTCTGATTTATTTGGAAAAAAAAAATCATGAGAATCCAATTTCAGACTGAGGAGCACATTTTTAAAACAGGTGGACAAATTTTTAGAGCTACTGGGAGCTCATTGTATACAGCCTGCAGGTCGGTGTCTAGGTCATTGTTGGCCCATTTTCCACCATAATCACATACACAAAGCCCAAGAGCATACTCTTCTCAAACATTACACTGAAACAGTGGAAAAGAGAACACCACTTGTTGGCAATCCCGGTTTTGTTCCTTCACGTCACAGGAAAGCAAATAAAAGGCACGTTTCTGAAGCAAAAGCATTGGGATCATTTGGCAAAGGTAAATTGTACTTGCCATTTACACAATAATCCATAAGAACCTGAGCTCAACTTTCCTAAAACTTGGGCGTCCATCTTCCGTCACTTCCTGTAGTCTGGAAGGCTTAATTTCTAAAATGGTTGGGTCATTTTAAAAATGCTTATCCAGGAACAGCTCCTTCCTGCGCGCAGTATCAGCAGGGTCTGCCTGTGGAAATAAAGTTTACTGAACAGAGCCATCTTCTCCAGTCCTCAATTCACTCACTATTGAGCCCACAAGACCTTCCTCGAAACATCCCCGAGTTCTTTCTCGTAGGACTATCACATACTCGAAGGTTAACAGCTCTTCCTGAGGACAATGGAGGGGCTCTGAAAAGAGCCTTTGGGTTTAAAGTTGGCACGGAACCAGGAAATCACATTTACGCCCTCTCCCCGCGGATGCGGCGCGCCAGCTGGATGTCCTTGGGCATGATGGTGACGCGCTTGGCGTGGATGGCGCACAGGTTGGTGTCCTCGAAGAGCCCCACCAGGTAGGCCTCGCACGCCTCCTGCAGGGCCATGACGGCCGAGCTCTGGAAGCGCAGGTCGGTCTTGAAGTCCTGCGCGATCT